AAAAAAACTGGAAGTCTAGGAGGGAGTAAAACTCATTTTTATCCCAAACCATCTTGTAAAGTTTGACTTCTGGCCACGTGCATGTTACTTTCAATAAGGAAAATGAACTGTCCATTTTTGCCTTTATGATTTCTTCTTATACAGGGTTTAACATGATAACTATAAGGTCCTAACCAAAATATGGAAACCAAAAACACAGACAGATAAAGATTCTATCACGGTCCAGATGTAATCCTGCATATTTTATTCACTTGTGTTCCCTTGTTTCCTAAAAATGAGAAGTGTGATTTTGTCGGTGCTTTCAACAAAAGGACTGAGGCTAAGCAGTCAGAGCTGGCCTACGGCACAGTAGGAGTGGGGTGGGGTTGAAGAAGACTGGAAGAAATGGTTACTAGGTTCAGACACCATCCTTCAGACAACAGAGCCAAAGTAACATGCAATTCTTGGAGTAAAAATGAATAAAAATAATACATAGCTTTCATTCATACTAGATAGTCATTGGCTTTAAGTAATCAAGCTGTTTATTGAGAATATTTGTTGAGTCATTTATATACTCAACAAACATTTATTGTGTCCAATCGACTCTGCCCTGTTCTTGGCAATGGGAATGTTGGAAGACTCATCTCTTCTAGAGCATGAGACCAGAGGATACAGAAACCACACTATTTGGGAGCGTAACTATTTAGCCTGTACTCAGAAATAACAGGTCCAGACCTTAATAAAATACTAGCAAATGAAATTCAGCAAAATATTGAAAGTATTATATACCGTCCCCAGGTAGGCGTTATCCCAAGAATGCAGGGTTAGTTTAACATCTGAAAATCAAGTAATGTAATATGCTATATTAATAGAATAAAGAAGAAAAACCACTTGATCATCTCAATAGAGGCAAAAAAAAAAGAGCCTTTGACAAAACTCAATACTCTTTCATTATAAAGACACTCAAAAACTAGGAATAGAAGGGAACTTTTCAAAGGGCATCTATGAAAAGAACCACAGCTAATAGGGCATTTTATGGTAAAAGATTGACAGCTTTCTCCCTTAGATCAGGAACAAGACAAGTGATTTTAATTAGGTAATTTGCCTTCCTATTATTGAGTTATAAGAGTATTTGTAAAATGGATACAAGTCCCTTATCAGATATATGATTTGCAAATATATTCTCTCATTCTCTGGGTTGTGATTTTACTTTCTTGATAATATGGTTTGCAACTCAGTTTTAAATTTTTTATTGTGTTCAACTTATCTATATTTTTTACTTTATTTGTATTTTTTGGTGTCATATTAAGAAACCATTGCTTAACCAACATCAAGATTTATAGCTATGTTTTCTTATAGAGTTTTATAGTTTTAACTCTTCTGTGTTGGTCTGAGATAAAGTTAATTTTTATGTATGGTGTGATGTTGGTTTCCAATTTAATTCTTTTGCATGTGGTTATCCAATTTTCTAGCACCATTTGTTGAAAAGACAATTCTTTTTTTATTGAATTGTGTCGGTACCCTTGTCAAGTGTCAATTGACCATATATGTAAGGGTTTATTTCTGAACTCTCAATTCTATCCTATTGACCAAATGTCTATTAAGAGGCTATACTGTCTAGATTACTGTAGTTTTATAGTAATTTTGAAACAGAAAAGTGTAAGTTTTCTAACACTGTTCTTCTTTTCCAAGATTCTTTTGGCTATTCTGGCTTTCTTGCATTTCTATATGAATTTTACAATCCATCAGATTTTTAATTTCTGCAAAAAAGTCAACCTGGGACTTTGATAAGGATTGTGTTGAACTTGTAGATCAATTTGAGTAATATTGCTATCTGAACAATATGAAGTCTTCCAACCCATAAATATGGATGTCTTTCTATTTATTTAGATTTTCTTTCCACAATATAGTTTTTAGTGTATAAGTCTTACTCTTCCTTTGTTAAATTTATCTCTAAGGATTTTATTGATTTTGATGCTATTATAAATGAAATTGTGTGCTTATTTAATTTTCAGAATTGCTAGTTTATAGATATACAAAAATTGTAGCCTGGATCCATGCTGAACTAGTTTTTTGGTGTTGTTTTTTGTTTTTTGTCTTAATATATTTTTTAATGGATTCCCATATAGAAGATCATACCACACACAAGATCTACATACAAGGTCATGTGCAAGGAGAGATAATTTTATTTCCACCTTTCCAGTCTGAATGCCTTTTATTTTTTTATTTTTTTTGTCTAAATGCTCTCACATATACAGTATAATGTTAAATAAAAGTAGCAAAGGTGAACATTCTTTAAAAAAAACAAAACAGAAATTAACTGCATGTCTTCAGAAATAATTATTAATGGTCTTCCTAGATCCCGGAGAAACAGATGTGGCCTTAAGCTGAAAGACTCAGAAAAGCCTGAAGTCAAAAAAGTGAACAGCAAGCCACCTTATAGCCTAGAGTGATGATTCCCACATTCAGTAACAAGTGCAAACCATTGGACTCTGTGATACTGATTCCTTAGACTCAAACAGATTGCCCCCCACTCAGTGTTCAAGATGAGAATCATCTTCACCACTATGACCCCTAGCAGTGACTCGAGGCTTAGACAATTAGTAGACGGCTGAGCACAAGCAGAAGAAGGATCTTCACACCTTATATAAAGCCTTAGTTAAACAGCTAATAAGGAGTGAACAAAATACTTGGAAGAGTAGAAGGTATGACACTCTCCGACTCAGAGAAGAATACCAACATGAACATAAAATGTAGATATGACATCCAAAGGTTCTCTTGTTGTTGTTGGTTTTATATTTTCATTTAGAATCTGATGGTAAAGCTTCAGGGAAATGGAGTAATTAATAGTAATAGAGCTAGAGAACCCAAGTAGATATCATGTGAAAATTACTTTATTCCTCAATACTAAAACTTGTAGCTACTATCATCTCTTAATCAATCAAACAAAACTAGAGGGTTGTCTGGGTTGATCTCTTCACCATAAACTTTTAAAATATATTTTTATTGATATCAGAGAGGAAGGGAGAGGGAGAGAGAGAGAGAAACATCAATGATGAGAGAGAATCATTGATCGGCTGCCTCCTGCACGACCCCACTGGGGACCGAGTCTGAAACCTGGACATGTGCCCTTGACCAGGAGGGAACTAGAGATCCTTTAGTCCACAGGCCGATGCTCTATCTACTGAGTCAAACTGGCTAGGAGCATATAAACTTTTAGACAACTAAACCGAGGCCCTGCAATTTAAGTATAACCAAAGCATCAAGTATGTCTCTGAAATATGGTCAAGAATAACTTTTTGTCTAAATTACTGTTATCTAAATAAATTGTATAATCTCTTGACATAACTAGTCATTTAATTAGGAATTATAGCAATCTTGGGGGAGTGGGTTGTTTGTTTTTTTCTGTACTAGGTAAGAGCTAGGGCAGTCACATTTTAGGATCCTGCTCTGCTTCTTACACATCACTTATGGAATATTTCCTGGTTTTTGTTAACACGAAACTCACTCTTCTAATAAGAACTCCCACTGCCTTGGCCCACTTGGCTCAGTGGATAGACCATCGGCCTGCGGACTGAGAGGTCCCGGGTTCGATTCTGGCCAAGGGCACATGTCTGGGTTGCAGGCAAGATCCCCAGTAGGGGTTGTGCAGGAGGCAGCTGATTGGTGATTCTCTCTCATCATTGATGTTTCTATCTCTCTCTCCTTCTCCCTTCCTCTCTGGAATCAATAAAGGGGAAGAAAAAAAAAGAATCTCCACTAATAGCAAGTCTCTCCTGCCCAACCTTATCATTAACAGTAAAGGAAGGTGTGGTGTTTGGGGATTCTGGTTTCTCTCCTTTGCAGAGGGTTCCTTCTCTTGGGGCACCAGCATAAGCCTCGGCAGAGCAGAGCTCATGATATTTCAGGGAGTGGAGCTCTGCAGAAGAATAAACAAACCCATGTGGGGAGAGTTTGGGATGACAGAGCGCTCTATCTAGTTAGAGACATCCTGGAGCTGATCTGAAAAACAAAAACCTTCATCTGTGCCCAGTCATTTCCTTTCAGCAACATCCTGTTGACATTTACACAATTTCAAAAGCGTATCTAATAGATGAAGGAATAATGTAAATAGCTCCTTTGAAGTATTTTTTTTTTTCATTGACAATGGAGAATTACCAAAATAGTACCTTTTACATTTATTCTCCACTCACAAGTAACACCACCAAAAAGTTACTCATCGCTTCACTCCTGGAGAAATGGCAGAGGAACCTGCTGCCTTCCCTTTTTTTTTTTGTTTTTGTTTTTGTTTTGTTTTGTTTAAGAAAACGAAAAAAGTAAAAAAAAATAAAATAAAATAAAAAAAGAAAAGAAACTTCAAACAGAGCATTACAACTCAGAAATGTACACACGTTTCCATAAAACGAACTTTTTAGCTCTTAATAACTGAGTTCATGTGATGCGTTCCCAAATGGTATAGTTGATGTGTCCACCACCAACCACCCAGGAACCATTGGACACAAGGAAGCCAACTTTTCGTCCTTAGTTACTAAGTAGTCAGCGCCCTGCCAGGGTCAGAGAAAGAAGGGAATCAGCACTTCTTGCACTCCGAAAAACAAACCATAAATCAGTGGGAAGGCTTGAAAGAATCCCGTCCTGGGTCTGTGTTCAGGAGCCAAGCGTAAATACAGAAAAACCGGCTGGCACGTTTATCTCCCCTAAATTTCGCGTTTTAAAAACACAGCGCTGCTCAGATGGCGTTTCTCGGAAATTTCAGGCTCATGGGGCAATTCAGATCACGGCCCAAGCGAGGCATCTCCTTGCAGAAAATGGGAGCCTGCGCCTTTAAGGTCCAGTCGGCTGGATCCCAAAAGGCATGCATTCCACTTTTCCACGACAAAGAGTCCGGGGGAGCGCTCCCTCTCGGGTTTCTCCCGGGGACTTGGCGGGATCGGGATCGGGAAGGGCAGGACGAGTGCAGGGCCCCCCCCTCCCCTCACCGTCCCCGCCGCGCCCCGCGCCGCCCGGCGCCCCGCACTCACCGCCGCTGGGCTGCGGGGACAGCGTGGACACCGAGGTCTGGCCCATGGCTGGGGTCGCAGGGCCAGGTCCGGCGGCGATCACGCGGCCCTCTTGGTCCTGGGATCATGGGTCCGCGCGCAGACAGGTCCCCAAGCGCTCATCTCCCCGCCGGTCTGCCCGCCGCGTCCCTCACCTTCTCCCCCACGCGGGTCTCGCAGCCCGGCCCGGCCGCAGCCGGCGCGGCGGATCCTGCCCAGCGGATGCCTGTCATTCCTCTATGCAGATTAGCCGGGGTCAGGGGTTACGGAGGAGGAGTGAGGGGGAGAGGGGGGAGAGGGGGGGAGGGAGGACGACAGGGGGAAGTGGGGGGCGCAGGAGTGGGGAGGGGAGAGGCGCGGGCTTGTCCAGCCGCGCCCACCGGGTCTGTGGATACCAGCACATCCCCCTCCCCCCCCCCGTGGTGGTAGAGAGTTCAGGCGACTCCCTTTGAGATGAAAAGGGTTCAGTGTCAAAGGATCCTTAAGGACTGGAAGAAAAGGAATTAACAGTACTTAGTCACCATACTTAATTGAAGAAAATGTGTTTCTTTTCAAGTTTAGTTCCTTCCTCACATTGTGTGTGCCGTAGTGCAGCCCTGTTAGATGTCTGGTTTGCGTGCATTTCTTTTTCCTTGTTTTAAACATCATCTTCCTTTCAACAAACAGAATTAAACACACACACATACACACACACACACACACACACACACACACACACACACACATTAGTGGCCCCAGTCGGGTTGGACAATAAATCTGAAGGACAGATCCGTGTGTGAGATCAGTACAATACACAGGTTGCTTGCTCTCTACCACCTAAAGCCCAGATGCCCACCTCCCCTGGGAGCGCTACCAGACCATGTGGTAAGGTGTTTAAAATTACAAAAGGTGAAAAACAACAGTAAACTTATTTTAGAAGCTCACACTGCCTAAAAGTTGAATTAAATTCTACTATAATATTATATTAAATCTCAAGTCTTCTTCAAAATATGACTCTAAGTACTCTTGGTATTTACAATGGATGCTTAGTATAATCAGTAATCTAGGCCATATGTACAGGGTGGGTAAAAGAAGGTTTAGAGTCACTGAGAACAGAAAGAGGGCTTATTCTTATACTTACTAATTGTATTATTTTCTGTACGAACAATGGTAAACCTGCTTTTGCCTCATTCTGTATTACCTAGAGAGGTAGAGCACACTGAATAACCGCTGATGCTTCACCACAATCCACTGAAACCCAGGAGAGTGCTAGGTGCTTAAAAATTCCTCTAAAACCTAAGAAATCCATAACTTGTGAAAATTCAATTTAAAAAAACAACAGCAAAACAATAGTATTTTCATATAAAAGGTAACTGATAAGTTTCACACCAAAACAGATGTTCATCGCAGAAAATGATAGAGAAAATTATTCTAACTAAAGGAAAACATATAAGGTGGAAACTGGGATCCTTACAAAAGCATGATAAAATTAAGAATGATTCAATATCTGGTTAAGTGCAAAAGATGAGATTTATCATTTTGAATTTTCCCTCCTAATTAGTTTATGAACCGTAGATATGTATATTTATATGTATATGTAGGTATATGGCATTAGAGCAGATGGTGGTTGCATAAATGTGTTCACTTTAGGAAAACCTTTTGAGCTGTGTTCTATGATTTGTGCACTTTTGAGAGGGACATATTTTTAAAGCAGTAAAAAAAAAAAAGTGCAATATATTTAGGTCACTTGCCACAGCTTTAACTTTCTAAGTTTTCCTAAAGATTCAACTTAAAACTCTTGAAAATTAAATAAAATGATCTATTATTTAATACTGAAAACATGAAAGTCTTTTTTCCCCTAAAGTTTGTGTTGTTCTATTTTTTGAAATATATTTGCTGGTTTGTTTCATTATAGTTGCCCTAATTTTAAACACCCAAATAGCCCACCCTCCATCATGGGAAAGATTTTCCCCCCTAGAATCAATTATCTACTTCCCTTTGCCAAATTCCCTTTTCTTTTTAATTTAAATTCTTTATTGTTTAACGTATTACATGAGTCTCCTTTTCCCCCCCACTGACCTCTCCCTGGCTACTTCCATCCTCCAGCACATGCTCTCACCCCCCCTACTGTCTGTGTCCATTGGTTATGCTCATATGCATGCATACAAGTCCTTTGGTTGATCTCTTACTCCCTGCCCCCCTGCCAAATTCACTCTTAAGAAACCCTGATTTTTTTTTCAAAAGAAATTATGGATTAAATAAAATGTGAGTTCTAATTAGAATATTGAAATTAATCTTAACTAAATTTCCTTAAAAGTGCAAAACTGTTGTGTTTGAGAACACATCCCAGCTGAGAGGGTTTAGCAATCAAAGTAAACAATTCTAATGATTTTTCCATTTCTTTGCTTTAAGTTGCCTTAAAACTACAACAACAAAAAGCCCAGGCTAAGTGTTTGCTCAACCTACATTGAGAGGACGGAACCTCTCAGTCTTCCTTCCACTGATAGAGCTTAGTTAGTAAGGAGGCCATTGACCAGAGGAAATACACATTAGATGTTACACAATAAAACATCCACATGCAATAATTTTTAAAAATTGACAGAAGTTAAACTTTGAGGTTCAACATTTTTACTGTAGTTCCTATTTTCCTTGAAAAACAATCACGTGTCTCTTTTATTTTCTTCTACAGATTCTTATGTCAAACATCAAAGTGGTACTCCATAGTTCTAGTCTTTAAGGATTCCCTAAATCCATCCATATTTACTTTATCCAAAACCTTTCATGATTTGCTAGTTAATATAATCTTAGCCTCATCTGGGATTCTGATAATCCCCCGATCGGGTTGCAGGCTTTTCTCTGAAACTTGTCCAGTTCCATTACATTATTCGTGAAGCATGTCAAGCAGAGCTGCAGGAAGTGTGTACTAGGGTTATGTTAGAAGGATGGCCAGCTATTCTAGTTGATCTCCAGAGCTTCTGATGGGGGTTGGCATTGAAGCAGACTTTTTTTTTTTTTTTTTAATCACAGCTGACAAATTATTCTAATGACCACAGAAAACATCGACAGAAATCCCTACATTGCATTTCTAGGTTCTAACACAAAGGTTAGAAGTTATCACTTAACAAGGATACTTAAAAGCAATTTCTCCTAAATTTGCCTTACTCTTCCCATATTCTGCTATTATTCAGCCAACTCACAGCTTTCTAAGAGTTCTGGGTGTTAATCCTATGGGCCTATCGTTTAAGCTATGGGAATGTTTAATGTCATCTGAAAAATATGGATAGTTCTCTATTACCTCTTTCCAGGAAATTAAAAAAAAAAAATGCTAAGCAAGATTAGTGCCAATTTCTAACTCTGAGGAAGGTAATTCTTCAGCGTTTATCCCATTGGTCCTGCTCTTTGGTCTATATTTTTAAGCCAGTCTCTTATCTAGTGCTATCCTGGTAAATGTTTAATCAGTTTTGTCTGGGGGTAGGAGACAAGATTGATTTGCAATGTGTAGTGTTTGCCAGTTTCCAAGATGCAAATACTTCTACAATGGCCAATTCAACAAGTGGTCAACCAACTTGCAAGATTTATGTCAACTGGTTTGCAGAATTCCTGGACATATAACAACCGCCCTGTATGAGCTGACTTCAGCATAACCACTACTTTCATCTCTTGTAATACGCTGCCACCAAACCATACGAGGAATCATTTATGTTAAGCCTTCCTAAAAATACAGAGGGATGGCATCTACTGATTTTTCCACGTCCAGCCTAAATATTTTTCAACCCTTGAAACAAATTTGATGATTTATTCATTTAATTCTGGAAAGAAATAAAGAGTGGGTTTGATGGAATTTCCCCTTCCTGAAACTGTTTTTGCCTTGTGACGAAGCGGTGCACTTACTGAGATTTTCAAGTATTCTCTACCCTACAACACAGGTTTCACTGGCTAGTCCGATGGAGGAGTTCCTAAGCTCGCCCCTCGGGGCACCAAATGTCACACTGCACTCCTAATGAATGGAAATCACCATATCTATTGGATAAAAGTTAAAAGAAGACATAAACCTAAACTTCTTTCCTACTAGTTCCAAGTCCAAATTGCAGACCTATATTTTGGTGGCTAACAATTACTACTGCCACCACTACGAATCCTGTCACTCCGGTCACCGCCAGCCTGCTTTAGGCAGCCAAATCTAAGCCTGGAGTGGGCGAAAGAGTGATAGCTTCCTCCCCAAGAGCACAAATGCCATGAACAGGAGCCTGGCTGTTCCCTTTACCCAGCTGCTGCCAGCAGTGCTGGGGCCCATTTAGAGACACCCGCAGTTAGGAAGAGAAGGGCTAGAAAGAGTCCTAGGGTGTGATGGTTGATCACAGCGGTGGTGGCCCAAGAAGCAAGGAGAGGGTGGCCATGGACAAGGAGGTGAAGGTTCGTGTACTTGCCACCCGTGTTCCATGGAGACCCAGCAAAATAACTGTCATTTTCTTGAGTCATGGAAATTGCTGTCCCAGAAAACCCTTTCTTAGTGGGAAGGAAATGAAATTGAGTAATTATAACTTAATAACTGTCCATAGAGTGTTTATTTTCCAGATACAGTGCTCAGATGAAACAACACAAATTCATAGGTCATCTAAAACAGCATTTTAGCTAACTATGTTCTTTCCACTTACAGTTGTCAGATTTATTAAAAAGCAGGAAACTGCCTTTTCTCCCTTCCTCTGATGGAGGTGCTAGAGGGCAATTTTTAAACGTAGAAGGCTATTTTAATACAATAGGTCCTAACAATCAGGCAAAAGAATATGTAACTCAGAAACTAAAAGTTGATGTGCAAAACATTTTCAATGTTAAGTTCACTTTTAAATTAGAGTATCTACTGGTTTTTAAAAACTCTGTACTATACCAAAACTTGGGCACATTTTGTGAAAGGCAGTAGTTTACTAACAAAAATAATAACTACTGAAAAACAGTTTTACCTGAAATTATCTTATAATTTCACCTGGAATTCTATACATTTAGCTAGTGCTTACTTTAAAAAAACAAAAAAACAAAAAATAAAACAAAACA